GGGGAATGAAATTTATTTTGAGTTAAAGTCAAAATAAACAAACAAAATGCGCATTTATTAAGTTTGATTTATGTAAAAAAACTCCAAAACGTCATGTGACCATAATATTATTAAGTTACGTAACGTTACTAGCATGTAATCACGCTTAAAAAGTAGTGTTCGGAGACTTTTGGTGACCCTCTGTAGATAAAAAAAAAATAAAAAATATTAATAAAAATAATTTAATAAAAATAAAAAAGAAATATCAATGGCTTTACCTTTGCCATGGTAATGAATCAAACAGTTCTGTTTTGAAGGTTCCATCTCTAAGTAAAAGGTCTAATTGAACTTAATAGATTAAAAAAAATAAATAAAAATAAAAATATTAATAAAAAAATTTAATAAAATAAATAAAATAATAAAAAAGAAAGAAATATCAATGGCTTTACCTTCGCCAAAGTAACAGACTGATTAGTTCCATTTTGAAGGTTCTGTTTCTAAATGAAAGGTCTGATCAAATCTAAATAGATTAAAAAAAGCAGATAAAAATAAAAAATATAATAAAAAAATTATGTTAGCTTACCTTTGCTGTAGTGACAACCTGGTTAGAGTTGTTCAAAATTATCTTAAAGATAATTAACAGAAAGTTACAGGTGAAGTTTTATTTGCATTATTTTCACTGTATAGCTATAAGATATGCACCTTCAAATTCTTTCTTAAAGTGATTTATATATTAGAGCCATATGCAACATTAGGAACTCCTAAATTAATGAAGAGAGTTATCTTTTCTAGAATATTTCCTGATTCTATGGCTATAAAACTTTAACCAAAGCTTGAAAAGGCAAGTTTTATCAAAGAAATTTATGAACTTCTTAAATCTTTTATAGATTTTACAATAATTAAATGTCCTATTATTGTGATTAGCGCTGAAGAGGATAAAGCATTTAGTTTAAAATTTATAAAAGAAGCTGCTAATGGTTATGGTATTAGATTTGATATCATTAGTAATGCTTCTCATAGCATTATGTTGGACTTTATATGGGAGAATGCTACCAATATTATTTTTAAAAGAATCCAAGAAAAAGTTGTAAAGAAATAATTTTCAGTAAATTAACTTGATAGCATGCTGTTAACGTTACTCTTTCCGTCAAATAAGTTAACTATGATTTGAAGTTAGGAAGGTAATAGTTATAACTTAAATCCAATCAACTTGACACGCTATTTATTAGGGAGTTTATTTAGTTAACAAGAAATAAATTATAAGTTTTATGTTTGCAAAATATTAAATGTGTTTATTATTATTATTAAATGTATATTAAATACAATGTTAAGAACTTGTTGGAATCTCCTTGGAATCTCATTAGAATCTGTCCTTTTTCCAAGGCATTTTCATACCCTTTATATAGGAAAATTACAATTAAGAAAATCTATAGTAAATATGATACTACTGACAATAATAACAAAGCTAACAGATATGCTAATATTATTAGATATGATATAAATGATAATAGTAATATAAATAATAAAAATATAATAAATATTATGTATGTCCTATTTGGCAGATGTGGCAGATATGGCAGATTTAGCAGATTTAGCATATATGTCATATTTGACAGGTTCATCAATTTTTGCCGATTTCAATGCATATGTTCCTCAATCATTATTGTACTATTTATATTTTTATTATTCTATTATTTAATTCTATAAATAAAAAAGTTTTTATAAAATTAGATTTAAAATAAATAATGATTCAAGTCCTAAAGTCATCAAATTTCATGAGTAACATAATCTTACAATTATGTTATAAATATTGTATTTATTTACGTAAAATATATTTGTTAATATACACTATTCTAAGAAGTAACCTGACAGGATATGATAAATAAAGTATTAAACCTATCTCGTCATTTCAAGTTAAATGTTATCAATCTATTTTATATAATTAATTATTTTTTGTAATAATTGATTGATTATTCTATTCTGTTAAAATGTTCTTAAATATAAAAGAGAAACTACTACAATATCAACTTTTAAATAAATAATATCAACATTAAAATTTTCAGATTTATATTAAACTTAGAATAAAAACAATCACTAGAAATGATTTGAATCGATTAGATAATTTTTGAAGTATTGTATTTTGATAAATAATTCATAATAAAAATTATAAGTAAAAATAAGGTTATAAAAAGTTTCATAATAAAAGTTAAAGTAAAATTTTATATACTATATCTAAAATATTATTTCAGATTATCTGATATTGTAATTTATCAAATTTAAAAAATTTTCAATCCTTAAAATTTTGTTTTATAGCATTACGATAATGAAATTTATTACATCAAATCATTTTTTGAAAGATATATATATAATTTAACACTATATACAAATTAAGTTATATAAATATTAGACAGTGAGATAAAGGACATGATCAGATATGAACAATATTTTCACGTTCACACTATTTCCAGCAATCTTTAGAATAGCAATATTTAGGTATAATTTATAAAATGATATGTTCTTAAATAATATAATATCGACGGCTTATCTTTGCTGCGGTAATAGACTGGACAGTTCTATTCAAAGGTTCTATTTGGTTCTTAGCCTAAGTGGAAGAACTGATTGAACCTAAAAAAATTAAAATATTAAAGTAAAATTTTATTAAAAAAAAAATAAAAATAAAAATAAAAATAAACGAAACAAAATAAATACGAAGATATTAAAAAAAAATAAAAAATATTAAAAAAATTTATAAAGGTGAAGCGTAAAAAAAATTATGGAAATTTTCGAAATATACAATTCAAAAGAATGGCTTAAAAATCTATTTCAAGGAAACATATTAAATACTATGAATACAAAGATTTTAGCAATCTTCAAGAAATTAGTTCTGAAGGATTTGAAAAGTTTATCATGCTAATTACAATTACCTCAGAATTACCTTTTGTTTTAAAATCCTTTTTAAACATTTGAATTTTTTGATTACATAATTTTTCTCAGCTCTCTTTAATAACTTTTCATCACAGTAAGCAGTATTTTTTATTGCATTGATCTCTATATTTATTATGTGACATTATTAAGAGATGTAATACTTTTATTCTGGCATTTATTTTATTTTTGATTAAAAAAAAATGAAATTAAAAAACAAAAGTTTAAAAAACGGAATTAAACAAAAATAATAAAAAAAGTCCGAAGTTGAAATTTAAAAAACGAAAAAAAATAAGAAATTTAATTTAAATCAAAAAGTTATTTTAAAATTTAATTAAAAATTCGATTAAAAAAAATTAAACTTAAATTAAATTATAAAAAAAATTAAATTTAAAAATTAAAAATTATTAACCCTAATCTTATTTATTTATTTTATTTATTTTAAATTAATTAAAACTACATTTTTTTTGACCCTGGATATTCAATATAGGAAATAATAAATTTAGATAAAAGTTCATTTAAAGTAGATCCAGATGTAATTAAAGAATATTCTTATCTAAAACAAATAACATCACAACCACTTCCAATGTAAGAAAGCATAATAATTTTTACACATACAATAAATATACTAGCAAAATTAATAATGATATTAAATAACAATAATAAGGCCGGCCCCTGGCCGGCCATGATCATGAATCTAGATATTCCAACAAATTTAATAAAGATACTTATAAATATTAAATAAAATATATATGTTACTTTCAATATTAATTAAGGCCGGCCCCTGGCCGGCCATGAATAAAAATCTAGTTATAGTATAAAACTAAGACGCACGAAACATTGTTTTTATCCATACGCTCTTATCAACATTATCTTTAATTTTTTACATTTCATTTATTATTTCGAAAAATTTTCACAATACAAATGTAGTATCACTTGTCCTGCTTTTTCTATATTATCAAAATATGAAGAAAAATGTCGAAACCGTCGTTCTAAATAGTATAACCATGCGAGTAAAAATAATAAATTATATTTAAGAATATAGTATATATACAATCTACAATACTTTGCTAACGCAAAGCAAAGAAGTGTTTAAGGAAATTTCTTCGGAATATCTTTTTCTTATAATATTCAGACAAATAATAATTTCTATAATATAAAAGAAATGACGAGTGAAAAATAAGGACGAAATTGCAAGTTTTTCATTCTCAGATTATTATTTGTTTTAGTAATTATATTCCATATTCAAAAAGCAACTGGGCATGCGCTCGAAATATCACAAGTTTTACCGAACAGGCCTACCCACCATGTACTCTGATTGCTTAGCAAGCCTAGAAGAAACAAAAGAGATGCTACTATAATACCACAAATGAAGAAATAGGAATGAAAATAATTTCCATATACGCTTTTTTCTCCCTTCAAGTGGCTCAAAAGTGCCAAGACACTGTTGAATGACCAAATTGAACACAACACCGAGAGAAATTTGCTGCGACAATAAAAACCGATTGGGGGTGTGAAATAGGCTAAGAGCACTGATACCCAAGGTACTACTATTGACACTAGAGCAGTGAATGCAACGCGGGCGTAATGGTTAGACTTATTATAATCGAGTATGTTTACGGTTATTTGATGGTTTCCTAATATTTTATCAGGATCGAAAGCAACTAGATTATTCCGAATCGTTCTCCTATATATTGCAGGTAATGTCCAAGATAAAGCTAACGGAATACTTGGCCAATATTCATCACAGATCGTCGGTCCTGCCACCCTTGATATTCCAGAAATTATACCAATTATTATATAGTATAACGACGCCAACGACGACAACCTTTCTAGTACGGATGCCTTGGCGACACATGCTTTTATATGTTCCGACTGTTCAATGTTCATGGCGTATACTCCGAAAGGTCTGTAAGTGATTGATGTTGTCGAGTTTTCATCATTCCTAATAAAACTTTTTGAAGGAAGCCAATAAGCGCACAATGATGTCTCATCACTCTTTACGCAGCAGGTGTAAAATAATCCCGTGAATGGACAGCCAAGACATCGTGCTAACCATATTAACTTTTCCATGAAATCATCCCAAGGAGCAACCCCTATTGTTGCGATAGCTGGTAGGCATCCTAATACATATTGAGGAACGGGATCTTGTAATTTACGTATGAATTTTAGCGCATACAAATACTCCGTTTCCATATTCAAAGCTATCAAGACTTGGATAAAAGACTTAATTGCAAATTAGCGCGATATATATATATCGAATTTTTTCATAAATGACATATTTGCCTCGGATAAAAAGCATTGTTATATTACAGCAAGATAAGCGATTATCGTTAAAAGATATCTTTGATTATATTCCTGTTTGAATAACGAAATTACAAATCTGTTGAACTGTATAAGAGTTCTTTATCAATTCCTTCATAAGTCTATATTTAGAAACCCTACCCACTTATGTAAGATTTAACGCCTGCCCACAAAATTAGCCTCGGAATATTCAAAATCGACAAGATTACAATGATTTCTTTTAAAAAAATACAAATAAATAAATAATAAATACACAGATAGGAAATCATGCCCCTGTTGGGAAACATTAAAAAGATTAATACGGGCCGATAATATTTAAATTCGGCGGAAATATACATAAAAGGAAATAATTTTTTTCAATACAGATGTATAATTTGCTCCAATTAGAAAATAATGATTTCAACAATCTTCCACCTGCATATCACCATTTAATGTTGTAGTAAAGGGCTGCGCTTTAATATTTCAGTAAATATTTACGAAATGCATGGCGCAACTTATCATTAATACAATAATAAAACTTTACTTATGAATACACAATTATGTCATGACACACTATCATTACACATAATGTTCAAAACTTTATTTCAAAAACAAATTACATCAAATCCTTCATTTAAACATTTTAGGATACATAATAGGCAACGACGCCGATGATGCGCATTTTGTTTCCTTAAATTTTTCTTTTAGGTTTGCGTCCGTCGATTGAATTATTGGCAGACGATTTTTTTTTGGGGTTGTAAACGATCCCAAATGATTTTTACAAATTTAGAAATGTCTAGTTATAGAACATCGGGTATAATCAGTAGGTCGAGCAATATTTTGTCAAGCTCGTAACCAGAATGGAAAGCCATTACTAATACAACAAATACCTATGAAAATAAACGTTCGAATTTAAGCACTAATTAGGTATGTAGGAAATAAAAAAAAATCAGTTCAAATGGTGTATCAGCATATTAATATATCCCATATTTATTATTACTAACATAATATTTTTGGCAAAAAAATAAGAGTAGATAATTCTCAACATTGTTTTTTGACTGAACTTATTTTGAGTATTTCCACTTATTTTATCTTTTTACTTATTTCTTCTATTTTTTTTTTTTTATTGTAAAGACTATAACCTTTGGAACATTTTTCATAGTTTCCTGTTCAATTATCAGTTGTTTGATCTTTACTTATTGATTTATAAATACTGCCAAATTTTTAACGCATGAATTTTATTATGCGATGCTCAATATCATTTAAACAATACAGTATTTCATTTCAAATTTCCTGATAGCAAATTCTCAATATTCTATAATATCATAAAATATAATAGTTTGCCAAATAATTTTGAACCGATCAAATCATAGTTAACTAATTGATCGAATATTAATATTAATGATTATTTTCGCTTGATTTGTTTCTTTGGTTGTATAGTTTGACTAATTTTGGTATTGCATTCGTGATTTCTTTTGTATTGAGTTAAATTTTTATTGATTTGGTTGATCCTTTTTTTCGCAAATATCGTTTTTTATTTCATTTCTTTGTATTTGTTTTACAAAAAATATCTTTAGTATAAAATTATTATTTGCGTCAGTTTTTGTTTTTTTTATTTTGTTACAAATTTTTGTATATGTTGCAAATTTTGGTTTTTATTAGATAAAAATTTAATTATTATATCTTTCTTTATTCCTTGACAAAGTACTATTTTCTTAAAATTATTTTGCTTTTATTTTGATTTTTTTTCTTTTCTTTTAATTTTGTTTTTTATTTTAAACATATTACATTTTTGCTTTTTGTCTTACTTTTTTGTAAAATAATTTGAATTTTTTTTTTTTAAAAAAAACAATATAAATATCATAAAATTTACCTACTCAATTATCACGATATTTCAGATTAAAAAAGAAAATATTTCAAGTGATACTAAAGTATACTGTATATGAGTTGACTCTTTGAGTCGGTCCGAAGACAGTTCCGGTTCGATTTTAAATTGATAAAGTTGTTAGTAACCAGGTAAATTTTGAATTGCTAAATTTAGAATCGGTTCTGAACCGACTCTAAGTCGCTCTTTTTGAAATGTCCCCATCTCTAGTAACCATATTTAATGATTTACCGAATTAAATGGAAGTTTTGGTAAAATTACCGATATTGTTTTACTTTACATAATTAAGCAAATCTTTTCCTAACCTAAATCTGTCTGATTAGATCAAGAATTAAAAAGAGATTTTTTTCCTATAAAAAAATATATTCTAATTTTTGATCAAATTTTTCTATCTTGCAAATTTTATTTAAACATATAAATATATCACTAGTCGAAATAGTCCAAATCGGCTAAAAATCGGATGGCTGATTTTAAGCCGATTTTGATACTATTTACGGCCGATTTGCCATGTTTTCCGATCAGCACAAACAGGTGCCGATCGACGCCGATCGACCCCAATCGGACATGGCCATTCAGAACTTAAATTCAACCATAAATCAGACGTCGATCGACGCTAATCGACTCTAATCGGACAAGCAATTCAGCATCAATAATCAGTACATTTTATTTATTAATATTAAAATTTTATTAATAATAAAAACCTAATATAAATTTGCAAAAATATAACAAAATATCACTAAAATCTACTG